GTGCGGCGCTTTTTTTTCTTTGGGCTGATAGCTTTGAAGATATGTTCTGATGATGGTAAGAGTGGAGCAGGGTTGTCTTCGTTGCGCAATTGGCTAGCGCGATCGGCTGTTAACCGAAAGGTTGGAGGTTCGAGCCCACCCGGTGGTGGTGCGGCGCCTTTTTTTCTTTGGGCTGAGAGCTTTGAAGATATGTTCTGATGGTGGTGAGAGTGGAGCAGGACTGTCTCCGTGGCGCAATTGGCTAGCATGATCGGCTGTTAACCGAAAGGTTGGAGGTTCGAGCCCACCCGGTGGTGGTGCGGCGCCTTTTTTTTCTTTGGGCTGATAGCTTTGAAGATATGTTCTGATGGTGGTGAGAGTGGAGCAGGACTGTCTCCGTGGCGCAATTGGCTAGCGTGATCGGCTGTTAACCGAAAGGTTGGAGTTTCGAGCCCACCCGGTGGTGGTGCGGCGCTTTTTTTTCTTTGGGCTGATAGCTTTGAAGATATGTTCTGATGGTGGTGAGAGGTAGAGCAGGACTGTCTCCGTGGCGCAATTGGCTAGCGTGATCGGCTGTTAACCGAAAGGTTGGAGTTTCGAGCCCACCCGGTGGTGGTGCGGCGCTTTTTTTCTTTGGGCTGATAGCTTTGAAGATATGTTCTGATGGTGGTGAGAGTGGAGCAGGACTGTCTCCGTGGCGCAATTGGCTAGCGTGATCGGCTGTTAACCGAAAGGTTGGAGTTCGAGCCCACCCGGTGGTGGTGCGGCGCTTTTTTTTCTTTGGGCTGATAGCTTTGAAGATATGTTCTGATGGTGGTGAGAGTAGAGCAGGACTGTCTCCGTGGCGCAATTGGCTAGCGTGATCGGCTGTTAACCGAAAGGTTGGAGTTTCGAGCCCACCCGGTGGTGGTGTGTTGCTTTTTTCTTTGCGCTGATAGCTTTGAAGATATGTTCTGATGGTGGTGAGAGTGGAGCAGGACTGTCTCCGTGGCGCAATTGGCTAGCGTGATCGGCTGTTAACCGAAAGGTTGGAGTTTCGAGCCCACCCGGTGGTGGTGCGGCGCTTTTTTCTTTGGGCTGATAGCTTTGAAGATATGTTCTGATGGTGGTGAGAGTAGAGCAGGACTGTCTTCGTGGCGCAATTGGCTAGCGCGATCGGCTGTTAACCGAAAGGTTGGAGGTTCAAGCCCACCCGGTGGTGGAGCGGCGCTTTTTTTTCTTTGGGCTGATAGCTTTGAAGATATGTTCTGATGGTGGTGAGAGTGGAGCAAGACTGTCACCGTGGCGCAATTGGCTAGCGCGATCGGCTGTTAACCGAAAGGTTGGAGTTTCGAGCCCTCCCGGGAGTGGTGTGTTGCTTTTTTTCTTTGCGCTGATAGCTTTGAAGATATGTTCTGATGGTGGTGAGAGTGGAGCAGGACTGTCTCCGTGGCGCAATTGGCTAGCGCGATCGGCTGTTAACCGAAAGGTTGGAGGTTCGAGCCCACCCGGTGGTGGTGCGGCGCCTTTTTTTCTTTGGGCTGAGAGCTTTGAAGATATGTTCTGATGGTGGTGAGAGTGGAGCAGGACTGTCTCCGTGGCGCAATTGGCTAGCGTGATCGGCTGTTAACCGAAAGGTTGGAGTTTCGAGCCCACCCGGTGGTGGTGCGGCGCTTTTTTTTCTTTGGGCTGATAGCTTTGAAGATATGTTCTGATGGTGGTGAGGGTAGAGCAGGACTGTCTCCGTGGCGCAATTGGCTAGCGTGATCGGCTGTTAACCGAAAGGTTGGAGTTTCGAGCCCACCCGGTGGTGGTGCGGCGCTTTTTTTCTTTGGGCTGATAGCTTTGAAGATATGTTCTGATGGTGGTGAGAGTAGAGCAGGACTGTCTCCGTAGGCGCAATTGGCTAGCGCGATCGGCTGTTAACCGAAAGGTTGGAGGTACGAGCCCACCCGGTGGTGGTGCGGCGCTTTTTTTCTTTGGGGTGATAGCTCTGAAGAAATGTTCTGACGGTGGTGAGAGTGGAGCACGTCCGTCTACGTGACGCAATTGGCTAGCGCGATCGGCTGTTAACCGAAAGGTTGTAGGTTCGAGCCCACCCGGTGGTGGAGCGGCGCCTTTTTTTCTTTGGGCTGATAGCTCTGAAAAAATGTTCTGACGGTGGTGAGAGTGGAGCAGGACTGTCTCCGTGGCACAATTGGCTAGCGCGATCGGCTGTTAACCGAAAAGTTGGAAGTTCGAGCCCTCCCGGGAGTGGTGTTTGCTTTTTTCTTTGCGCTGATAGCTTTGAAGATATGTTCTGATGGTGGTGAGAGTGGAGCAGGACTGTCTCCGTGGCGCAATTGGCTAGCGTCGATCGGCTGTTAACCGAAAGGTTGGAGTTCGAGCCCACCCGGTGGTGGTGCGGCGCTTTTTTTTCTTTGGGCTGATAGCTTTGAAGATATGTTCTGATGGTGGTGAGAGTAGAGCAGGACTGTCTCCGTGGCGCAATTGGCTAGCGTGATCGGCTGTTAACCGAAAGGTTGGAGTTTCGAGCCCACCCGGTGGTGGTGCGGCGCTTTTTTTTCTTTGGGCTGATAGCTTTGAAGATATGTTCTGATGGTGGTGAGGGTAGAGCAGGACTGTCTCCGTGGCGCAATTGGCTAGCGTGATCGGCTGTTAACCGAAAGGTTGGAGTTTCGAGCCCACCCGGTGGTGGTGCGGCGCTTTTTTTCTTTGGCTGATAGCTTTGAAGATATGTTCTGATGGTGGTGAGAGAAGGAGCACGACTGTCTCCGTGGCGCAATTGGCTAGCGTGATCGGCTGTTAACCGAAAGGTGGAGGTTCGAGCCCACCCGGTGGTGGTGCGGCGCTTTTTTTTCTTTGGGCTGATAGCTTTGAAGATATGTTCTGATGATGGTAAGAGTGGAGCAGGGTTGTCTTCGTTGCGCAATTGGCTAGCGCGATCGGCTGTTAACCGAAAGGTTGGAGGTTCGAGCCCACCCGGTGGTGGTGCGGCGCCTTTTTTTCTTGGGGCTGAGAGCTTTGAAGATATGTTCTGATGGTGGTGAGAGTGGAGCAGGACTGTCTCCGTGGCGCAATTGGCTAGCATGATCGGCTGTTAACCGAAAGGTTGGAGGTTCGAGCCCACCCGGTGGTGGTGCGGCGCCTTTTTTTCTTTGGGCTGAGAGCTTTGAAGATATGTTCTGATGGTGGTGAGAGTGGAGCAGGACTGTCTCCGTGGCGCAATTGGCTAGCATGATCGGCTGTTAACCGAAAGGTTGGAGTTTCGAGCCCACCCGGTGGTGGTGCGGCGCTTTTTTTTCTTTGGGCTGATAGCTTTGAAGATATGTTCTGATGGTGGTGAGGGTAGAGCAGGACTGTCTCCGTGGCGCAATTGGCTAGCGCGATCGGCTGTTAACCGAAAGGTTGGAGGTTCGAGCCCACCCGGTGGTGGTGCGGCGCTTTTTTTTCTTTGGGCTGATAGCTTTGAAGATATGTTCTGATGGTGGTGAGAGTGGAGCAGGACTGTCTCCGTGGCGCAATTGGCTAGCGCGATCGGCTGTTAACCGAAAGGTTGGAGGTTCGAGCCCACCCGGTGGTGGTGCGGCGCCTTTTTTTCTTTGGGCTGATAGCTTTGAAGATATGTTCTGATGGTGGTGAGAGTGGAGCAGGACTGTCTCCGTGGCGCAATTGGCTAGCGTGATCGGCTGTTAACCGAAAGGTTGGAGTTTCGAGCCCACCCGGTGGTGGTGCGGCGCTTTTTTTTCTTTGGGCTGATAGCTTTGAAGATATGTTCTGATGGTGGTGAGAGTAGAGCAGGACTGTCTCCGTGGCGCAATTGGCTAGCGCGATCGGCTGTTAACCGAAAGGTTGGAGTTTCGAGCCCACCCGGTGGTGGTGCGGCGCTTTTTTTTCTTTGGGCTGATAGCTTTGAAGATATGTTCTGATGGTGGTGAGAGTAAAGCAGGACTGTCTCCGTGGCGCAATTGGCTAGCGTGATCGGCTGTTAACCGAAAGGTTGGAGTTTCGAGCCCACCCAGTGGTGGTGCGGCGCTTTTTTTCTTTGGGCTGATAGCTTTGAAGATATGTTCTGATAGTGGTGAGAGTAGAGCAGGACTGTCTCCATGGCGCAATAGGCTAGCGCGATCGTCTGTTAACCGAAATGTTGGAGTTTCGAGCCCTCCCGGGAGTGGTGTGTTGCTTTTTTCTTTGCGCTGATAGCTTTGAAGATATGTTCTGATGGTGGTGAGAGTGGAGCAGGACTGTCTCTGTGGCGCAATTGGCTAGCGTGATCGGCTGTTAACCGAAAGGTTGGAGTTTCGAGCCCACCCGGTGGTGGTGCGGCGCTTTTTTTTCTTTGGGCTGATAGCTTTGAAGATATGTTCTGATGGTGGTGAGAGTGGAGCAAGACTGTCTCCGTGGCGCAATTGGCTAGCGCGAATCGGCTGTTAACCTGAAAGGTTGGAGTTTCGAGCCCTCCCGGGAGTGGTGTGTGCTTTTTTTCTTTGCGCTGATAGCTTTGAAGATATGTTCTGATGGTGGTGAGAGTGGAGCAGGACTTGTCTCCGTGGCGCAATTGGCTAGCGCGATCGGCTGTTAACCGAAAGGTTGGAGGTTCGAGCCCACCCGGTGGTGGTGCGGCGCCTTTTTTTTCTTTGGCTGATAGCTTTGAAGATATGTTCTGATGATGGTGAAGAGTGGAGCAGGACTGTCTCCGTGGCGCAATTGGCTAGCGCGATCGGCTGTTAACCGAAAGGTTGGAGGTTCGAGCCCACCCGGTGGTGGTGCGGCGCCTTTTTTTTCTTTGGGCTGATAGCTTTGAAGATATGTTCTGATGGTGGTGAGAGAGGAGCAGGACTGTCTCCGTGGCGCAATTGGCTAGCGCGATCGGCTGTTAACCGAAAAGTTGGAGTTTCGAGCCCTCCCGGGAGTGGTGTGTTGCTTTTTTCTTTGCGCTGATAGCTTTGAAGATATGTTCTGATGGTGGTGAGAGTGAAGCACGACTGTCTCCGTAGGCGCAATTGGCTAGCGCGATCGGCTGTTAACCGAAAGGTTGGAGGTCAATAGCAAGGTTGGAGGTCAATCAATAGCAGGACTGGGCTGAAGCTATCGACTCCTGTGGTGTCCCGGTAGCTGAGCAAGGCCAGATGAGGGTCTGTTGCTTTGCGAAACAACTCCTTGATGGTCCTGACCATTCTCTCCGCCTCACCGTTCGATTGCGCATAGTGCGGGCTGCTGGTGACGTGGTCAAAGCCGTGAGATGCCGCCAATGCTGCAAACTCGCGTGAAGAGAACGGTGGACCGTTGTCTGATCTGACCTCTCGCGGAATCGCATGCCGGGCAAAGATGCTTTTGAGAACGTCAATGACTGCCTGAGCCGTTGTGCTACTCAAGGTTACAACTTCAGGGTACCTGGAGTGGTAGTCCACCACCAAGATGAATGTCTGGCTGCGGAGGCGGAACAGGTTCATGCCGACAAGTTCCCAGGGACGTTCAGGTAGGACCGTGGAGACCAGGGCATCTGCTAGGTTCACCCGAGTGGAAGCACATTGCTCGCAGTTAGTTGCCAGAGAGGTAATGTCTGCCGAAATGCCAAGCCACCAAATGGACTCTCGAGCGAGAGCTTTTGTCCTGTTGATGCCTTGGTGTCCTTCGTGCAACAGCGTCAAAACAGCCGGCCGAAGAGAATGCGGGATGACCATCCTGGCGCCTTTCAGTAGAACACCGTCGCAGACAGAGAGCTCGTCTGCTGCTGAGGCATACTGGGAGAGGTGCAGTGGCAGTTTGGACTTCTGTGGCCAACCATTCTGGCAGAAGGAGGTGAGGGCTCTGCATTCGCCATCGGACTCTTGTGCTTGTCGCACGTCCTCTGGGATTAGTGGCAAGGCTTCTGACATGCCACTGACCACTTGAGCTACAAATAATTCCACGGTGTCCAGGGGGAGGGACGCCTTTTGGGTGATGCGTGACAAGGTATCTGCCGTAGCTAACAGCTTTCCTGGCACGTGGAGCATTCGGAACTGGTATCGCATGGTCTTTAACCTGAGCCTCTGTATCCGAGGCGGCATTATGTCCAGCTCCATCTTGCCGAAGAGAGAAACGAGTGGTAGGTGATCTGTCTCAACATCAAAGGTGATGCCGCGGACGAATTCGTCAAACCGTTGGATGGCCCATGTTGTTTCCAACGCTTCCTTTTCTGTCTGGCTGTAACGCTGCTCTGTCTCGGTCATTGATCTTGAAGCAAACGCAACTGGGCGGCGCTCTCCAGAGGGTTGTGTCTGCAGCAAGACTGCGCCCAGTCCGAATAAGCTTGCGTCAGCCGAAACTGTGGTGGCGTATGATGGATGGTACTTGGCCATGCAACGGTCTGATGTCAGGAGTTTCTTGATTTTCTCGAATGCAGCATTTTGTTCATGCTGCCTACACCAAAGTCGCAGACATTTTTAGAAGTGCTCTGATGGGAGCTGTGACCTCTGAGATGCAAGACAAAAACCGGGCAAGATGGTTCACCATTCCGTGCAGTCGCCGGACATCTGCGATGTCGGTTGGAGCTTCCATGGCTTTGATTGCTTCGACCTTGTCTGGACTTGGCCTGATGCCTTGTGCTTAAACGATGACTCCTAGGAAGGAGACTTCGGAGACACCAAAATGACACTTGTCTTGGTTCAACGTGATGCCTGCTTTTGCAAGGCGAGACAGCACCTGGCTCAGTCTGGCATCGTGCTCCTCGCGGGTGCGCCCAAAGACCAGAATGTCGTCTATCATATTGGCGACTCCTTCCTGGCCCTCCAGGATCCTGGCCATCTGTTTAAGGAAGTACTCCGGTGCGGAGGTGATGCCAAAGGGGAGCCGGCAGAAGCAGTATCGGCCAAATGGGGTGATGAACGTTGTGAGCTCTTAGGAGTCTGCAGATAGTTTAACCTGATGAAAACTGGCTGTTGCATCTAGCATGGGGAAAACTGTTGCGTCGCCAAGGAGGCCAAGGACTTGCTCTACAGTTGGTAGGATGTGGCGTTCCCGAAGGACAACCTTGTTCCGCTGAGTCAAGTCAACGCACAGCCGGTAGGAACCATCGGCTTTCCGTACTACAACGAGACCAGAGCACCATGGGGTTGGGTTGTCGACCCTGCGGATCACGCCTCCTTCCTCCAGTTTGTCAAGCTCAAGACGGACGAACCCGCGTAGCGGGATGGGAATCCTGCGAGGCACACTTAGGCAGAAGGGTACGGCGCCAGGTCTCAGAAGGATAGTGTACTCGTCCTTGAGGGTGCCCAATCCCTGGAAGAGCTCAGCACGCAATGTTGCTTTCGGAGTCTGAAGTTCGTCGAGAAACTTTACAACTTCCAGAGCTTGAAGCGCCGGCAGTCCAAGATGAGGTACGGTGAGAGACTGGATCACGTACAAGCGCTGAGAGCTCATTTTCCAGTGCCACCGAAGTCTCGCCATGTACGAACCCAGCACGCGCAGCGGCTGACCGCCAGGTCCGGTGAGCAAGCTGTTGACGGGGTCGAGCTTGGCCGGCAATGCAGGGAAGTCGCTCGGAACGGCGGACACCTCGGCTCCTGAATCGACCTTGAACTGCGCTGTGTAGTTGTCAACGGTGATGTCGACGACCTTTGCCGTAGCGAGCGTCCCGACAGCGTGTAGCTGAATGAGCCGAGCTTCTGTTTTGCCTGCCGCGCGCGGCACACTTCCGCAAAGTGTCCTTTCTTTTTGCAGAAGTTGCAGACTGGAGTTTCGAGCAGGGCAGTTAGAACGCGGATGTGGCACGCGGCCGCAGAATTCACATGTTGATGGCTGGCAGGAGCGCTCTGCTGATCTCAAACTCACCAAAAACATCAAACACGCAGATTGGCTCAATACCGAAGAAAACCCTCGGTAGTGACCACTGCATTGTCATTACAACAATCCGGACACACCCCCTTACTCGTCCCCACCACCAAGCGAAACTTCAAGACTGGACCAAATTTCGCTTGGTATACTCCAATCCGACCCCCATAGCTCACCAAGGATACTACACTCGGTCCCAACATCTCGTAAACTCACTCCACAAAATCGAGCAGACGGTTCAACTTTCAGAGGCCACGCCGGCGGTGGACAACCACCTCCTGCATCTCTGGGAGGCTCGGCACAGCCTAGTGCGCCGATGGCGCCGACAGAAACACAACCGACAGCTCAAAATCCGCATAGCGGCTCTCACCCTAGAGGCTGACGAGTACGCGGCCCAGCTCGCCGACTCAAACTGGGTAGACCGCTGCAACGCTGCCGCCACACAGATGTCAAGCCGCAACACCTGGCGTCTCTTTAGGGCTCTCATCGACCCTAGCCAAACACGCACAAAAACACAGAAACACCTTCAGCGCGCGCTTCACGCCTATGCGAGTGACGCGGAAAAATTGGCACAGGCTCTCAGAGACAAATATCTCTGTAGCCAAAAGGACCCCATCGGACCGGCGTATTCATATGCAGGCACGAAAACGCCGAGTTGGATCGTTGCTTTCAGCTCCACCATCTGAAGGCGGCCCTGTCCAAAATGAAACGAGGCACAGCGCCAGGTCGGGATCGAGTGACGGTTCGGCTCCTAGCCAACCTCCCTGACTCGGCGTACATTCACCTCCTCGACTACTTCAATCAGATCTGGGAGGGGCGCGAACCCCTACCGCTCGATTGGAAAACGGCCTTAGTAACTTTCATCCCTAAATCAATCAAATCTGTAAACATCGACAATCTCAGACCAATTTCCCTAACCTCATGCGTAGGGAAACTTATGGAAGCCATGGTCCGGGACAGGCTCTCCGAATACTTAGAGGCCCGACACACTTTTGCAGACACTATGTACGGCTTCCGCCCACATCGCTCTGCTCAGGACATCCTCCTGCAACTCCATCGTGACGTTGTCGAAGCGGTTGATCATCCCAGTGACGACAAGGTAGTCCTCGCCTTAGATCTCAAGGGAGCTTTCGATAACGTTACCCATGACATCATCCTTAGCAACCTATCACAAACAAACTGTGGGCATAATGCTTTTAGCTACGTCCGCCGATTCCTCATAGAACGGCAGACATACCTGCGTATTCAAGACAAGGAGCATGGACCGTACCCCCTCGGTACGCGCGGAACACCACAGGGAGCAGTCCTCTCTCCTCTTCTGTTCAATCTTGCCATGGCTCACCTTCCCTCATTGCTAAACGATGTCCCAGGCGGGCAGCACGCTCTGTACGCCGACGACATCACGCTATGAGCAACTCAGGGTTCCCTTGGTAGCATCGAGACATGCCTGCAACATGCCGCGTCGATAGTTGACAGCTACGCCCGCGGCTGCGGTCTCGAATGCTCACCCACCAAATCGGAATACGTGCATCTTCGCCCCAAACCGAACGACACGACACAAATTGAACTCACCTTGTGTAACAGGGCCATTCCGGAACGCGACGAAATCAGAGTCCTGGGACTGTTCATACACAAACACCGCAAAATTGACACCACTCTGCGCAAACTACGCACTGTGGGGGATCAGGTGGGCCGCATGATTCGCCGGGTTTCGAACAAGCGAGGAGGTCTCAAGAGCCGTGCTGCTCTGCGCCTCGCCAACGTTTTCTTGACCAGCCGGATCCTTTATTCGACATCTTACCTGCGTCTGCGTAAATGCGACGAGAATACACTAGACTGTATACTCCGCAAAATTTAAAAACGTGCCCTAGACCTCCCCATCTCAACGTCGAACCAACGTCTCGCAGACCTGGGCATGACAAACACGTACGGGGAACTTAAAGAGGCTCCTCTCAATAACCGGTACCTGCGCCTTAGTAGGTCTCAGGATGGGAACAACCTCCTACACCGCCTCCACATTTCCAACACCCACAAGGTGGAAGAGCGTACCGCAATCCCCGATGATTGGCGTGGTGCACTGATCATTCCGCCTCTGCCCCAAAACATGACAAATGGGACTCACGATGGACGCGTACAGCGCGGGCTACAGCCCTACAGCAAAGGTATGGCTCACGCCCGGGAGTCTTCTACACGGACGCATCCGGCCCCCACCACGGCGGGTGGTACACGGCCGCTGTGGTTCACCAAAACGTACTATTCAAGGGCTCACCTTTCGAGCACCGGACATCACACACGCGGAGAAGGTCGCCATAGCCCTCGCCGCAGCGGACTCCGCATCTCGGATAATTATTACCGATTCGCGGAGGGCGTGCCAAAATCTCACACGGGGTTGCAACAATGATCGCGCCGCCGAAATCCTTAAGCGATGCTATTATCTAGATCGCCCAAATCCACGCACCGTCATCTGGACTCCTGCTCATACGGGGCTAGTTGGAAACGAGGCTGAAGATGCCTCGGCCCGCGCGCTTAATTACCGGGACCTGCCTCGCCCTCCATCGCCTGATGTTCCAGAACCCAATCCGGCTACCTCTTTCAGAGAAATCACCGCTATGTACAATTCGAACAGGCTCCGCTTCCCACCCCCAGCATCGGGCCTGCCCAAGAAGGACAAGCGCTGGCTCCTCCGTCTCTATACCAATACAGTATTGTGCCCGGCGATACTCAAGCATTTCATCCGGCATTCTCTGGGGAATGCCCGCACTGTGACCATCCGTTCGCGGATCCTTTCCTATATGGTGTGAACATGCCCCTCAAATCCGGTGGTCCCGCCACTTCCTTCCCCTTCCCCCCTACCCGAGAGAGCTCGGAGGCTGCCCTGCTCGGTTGCTCGACCCTAGAGGACCAGCGTGCCCTAGTGGCCCGAGCGCGTGCTGCAGCAGAAGCCACAGGGGTCCCGGACTAGGGACTCCTCCTAGATTTTGTAAGGGGCCGGCCCTTAAACCCGTCCCCAACTCTCTCCTGTCAACTGAGTGAATAAAGTTTACTACCTACCTACCTACTCCTTTCCGCGGGGGCGAAGGCCGCTTATCGTAGTTGCGGCGGCGAGAGGCGAACTTCTTATTTCGTAAGGCGTCGAGGTGTAGCTTGCGGAAGTGCTCTGCGCAGTTTTGAGGCAACGTTTTTTCTTTGTCGCCGTCTTCTGATTGACGGGCCTGCATCCATGCTTCTTTGAGCGTCAACTTCGCGTTCCGGCAAAGCTGGTCCGAAAGGCGCGAGTCGCGGAGGCCGACGCCGAATCTATCGCTTACAAGCCTTTGCTCCACCTCAGCTGACGGATAGTTGCACCGCTTCACCATTCTACACAGTTCGGCGTAGTAGGCATCGACGCTCTCGTCGGGTA